CACCTCAAGGGGTTTGTTTTTTTCTTTTATTCACAAAAGAGAAGTTGTTTTTCGATGGATTCTAAGAAATTTGACCTGAAACTTTGATAAATTTCGAGTGGCTCATCGTCGTAGATTAGACATCAGCGTTGTAGATTCAACATTGGGCAAGACAATTTCGAGGTGAAGACAGTGGTGGAAGATGTACATCGGGGTCGGTTTAATTTGGGCGTAGATTTGCTAGGTAATTGAGGATACACATGTATAATTCCTTTTTGTCTTCTTAGTAGATTTTTTGTGATTTGGTCCGTAATTTTTTTTATCCACAATTGGAGAGCTCCAATTGTGATTTTTTTCAGATTAAATCATATGTTTGATTTTCTTGATTGTTTAATTGGATTATTATTCACTATTTAAAATTAAAATATAATCACAAATCAATATTCGAGCATTTTAGATTTTTCACTTGTATTAAAAGTAAATTAAAATATTAAACAATTTGATAAAGATTACTGAAAAATTGAGCATACTTATTATTATACCATCTAACAATTCTAACAATTGTCATGACGGTATGTTGGATTTTCATCGGTATAAAATTTGAGATAATTAGTAGATGGTCCAATTACCTAAATGATAGTTATCTTCATCAATATAAAATTTTGATATAGTTACCAACATGTACACGTAAACAAAGCACAAAAATACAAAAACGAAAGAATTTGCAAAAAAATATTATATATGCACTTAAAAATATTTCTCATCCACATGGTAAGGAAAACAGGGATTCTGTCACTCCTCACTAACAGATTGTCATGCACACGTAATATGATACATATTACGGTGGAGTTACAATGATTGCACGTTTGTATTCTACCTTGGAAATAAAATATGAAAACCTTTGGTCTCCGTTTGGTTCGTTGAGGAAAAGAACATATAAAACGTTAGTACGTAAAAAATTCATAATTTTTTGGATTTTACTTTATTAAACTGTCTACTTATATTTTTACCACGTTCTTGCAAGTTGGTCTGCAAAAATAATTCTTCAACTATCAATTTCATCTATTTAGAGTCCCTAAAGTCACTAATTTCAGTTCATGTGGTTTAATTAGAGATGATTGTATAAATCACTTACTACCTTCCTATGCTTAATAACCACTCATTTTCCTCTTTCCTTTCTAAATCTCTCCCAAATCTCCCAACCAAACACAGCATGAGAAAGTAGTATTTCTAGATGATGATGTTTGGTTCAGAAGGATCTTCATCAATTTAAATGTCCTAATTGATGTGGGATCTATACCACCATGTTCTACGGCTCGAACTGCAAAGTCACACCCATTCAATCCCCATACTCAATGTGGCACTCGACGTGGTAGTTGGCTCTGATATCAAACGATACAAACCGGATTGCAAGGGAAAGGTACCTAAGAGGGTTATATGCACATAGCCGATGCATATGTTAACCGATGTGGCATCGTAAGATAGTAAATAATTTTTTACATATATTTTCTCCTCATTTTGATAATGAGAAAATTATTAAACATTTTAGATTTATTTTGCATTTGTGTAATGATCATTTGGTAATCGTATGATGCTAAGAAATTTTTAAAGTAATAAATTATTGAGATAGTTTCACTTTTATTGTGAGTTTTGATTTATTTTTAATTTATTTTTATGTGTATTGAAATATGATGTTATAAGTGTAAATAGTTCAATTAGAATATGATTTTTACAATGATAAATTTATCATAAAAGTTAAAAGTATAATTTTTTGATAAATAAATTCGATGTATGAAACCTACACGTAACTGCCCTTAAAATTTTATTTCACAAATAAAATAAAACAAAACGAAAACAATAGTCGTGATGATTTGCAACAAATTGTCAAATGTTGGTCCCGATAATACCCCTAAATAAGAAGTTCCACGAGTCATTTGACTTACCGCCACTAGGAAAATTCATGAACGAACTTTCACTCTAAGAATTCATAAAATGAATAGTTGATTTCAAAATGTTTGAAACAACACACACACACAAAAAAAAAAAAAAAAAAAAAAAAAAAAAAAAACCACAACCAATTGAAAATAAGGAACGTGAAGTCTGGGAAGAGGAAATTTGAACAAGTTAAACTAGAAACGTGTGATTCCTTGCAAATTTGCATTAATGTTGATCATGGCAAGCACAATATGCTTCTCACTCATTAATTCCTCTATAAATACCTTGACAAACTCATGCAAAATGGAAACAAAAATTACAAAAACACAAACTTGCAAAGTAAAGGTTCTTGCCATAGAGAGATGTTGTCTATCATGAAGGTGTCCTTGTTGCAATTTCTAGGTTTTCTTTTGCTTAGTTGGCTCATTCATTGTCATGCTTGGGCTCGCTACAAGTTTGTGGTAAACACACTCATCTCTCTATGAAATTATGCATTGAATGAGCAATTATTGCATATTGGAGAGGATATTGTTATGGTGATATCTTCTTCTAAGTAAGATACATTATTTTATATGTTGTTTGAGAAATACCTTAAGAAATACAATTTGTGAGGTTACCAACCATATCGTATCCTCTCAGCACCCAATATTTTTTAGTTTGAAGACTCTAGCAAGACTTTAAAATTTTAAAAGCCCCTTATTATGATATAGTAGTATGAGTTAAAAATATTTTCAAATTATATAGATTCGTTCTGTAAGAATTTTTTTTAAAATTTAATTCCAAAACTTTAGATTTAAAAAAATATATATAATATATTAGTGGTATAAATAAGCCTTAGTATGCAAATTTTTTAATCTCATATATTGCTTTTGAATTTAAAATTTTATTAGTTCGGTCCGTTACTTGTTTGGTCAAAATAGTTTGAGCCCCTTACATGAAAATATATCAATCGTTGTTATTTAACCCAGGGCTTTAAATTTGATCCCACCCGATCATGTCGGCCTCGCAGGCTCCTATCAAAATTTGGGCCGAACCGTGCCGGCTCATAGGCCAGAAAATTAGGCCCAGGGGGTATTTCGGGCCTTGGGTCGGGTTTTGAATGGGTTTTGAGCGCCAATAGGCAGGTCGGCTTCAAAATGATGGCCCCAGGCCCAAGGTCCGATTGGGTCGGGCTCGGCTCGGGCCTAACCAGGTAGAGCCTACCCTAGGCCACCTAGGGCCGCAGATTATTTTTACACTCCTATCTAAACCATTTGTTGTGTTGAATTTTAAGTAAGCGTCACACAAATAAATAATCGAAATTTATTTTTAAAAAGGTAAATTATATTTTGTCTCCTTTATGTATAGTAATTTTTTCACTTTGGTTTTTAAAATTTATTTTTTCTCACTTTAACCTTATATGTTTTAAGTTTACACACTTTACTCTTATTAAACTAATTTCTGTTTAAAATTATACAGAAAAAAACATATTGGCAATCAATTATATAAAAATATTTTATTATATATAACTTACACATTTAAACTCTTATATAAATAATGTATTTTTATGTTATGTAATAATTATGTGATATTTTTCTGTCTTATCTTTAGGAGTAAAGCAGAAACACTTAAACTTGAAGAATCAAAATAAAAAATAAAAAATAAACTTTACAGATGAAAGTGAAAAAAATGATTAAATATAAAAAAAACAAAATATAATTTACCATTTAAAAAAGTGCCGAGTGTGTGAGGTGAATAATTGCTCACAATGTGACTCAAATTAAGCGACAAGTCTTCCTATTATTTGCTAACAAACAAAGTATAAAACAAATATAAATAAATAAATAAAGCGTTGTTTGATTTGTGTTTCTAAAAAAAAAAAATTCAAAATTTTTTTAAGTAAAAATAGGAATTAGTTTGATAAAAATAAATATAAAAAATGTTATTTAAAAATTTTAAAAATTATTTCTGACTTTCCAAAAAATATAATTATATAAAAATAAAAAAAATATATTTTTTTTCACTAAATTAATTTTTAATTTCTTCTAAAAAAATTCTAAAATACATTAATGAAAATCAAATGAAACCTGGCTTACCCTTTCTATTTAAGAAGTGGTACAGCCGTGGTCACAAGACAAATTTGTCAGTAATACCGTACATTGTTTTGTCTTAATGTAAAATAATTGCTATTTGTTTGATTTCGGCGAGAAAAGACAAGTGATTATAGTCATTTTTTTAGGAATACTTACGTGTAAATTTTAATAAGTAGATTTATTATTTAATAGATTTTATAAAAAAAAAAATCATAAAAAAGTTATTAATTATAAATTTTAACGACAATTTATAAAAATCATGACAAAAAAATTCATTAATTGTCAATTTTTAACAATATATGTAAAAAATTGTCATAAAAAAAATATTTTTAGCGACAATTTTACCAAGACCTATTTTTAATAAGACTTTATGAAAATTAATTCTAAGTATTAGGACCTATTAATAGTTTACCTTTCTTTTTATGAGCTGTATTTTTTAAGAAGACTAGTGTTTTCCATGTAATTAAGCTTGCATATAAGTCTTTTGAAAATTATATTTTATTCATGGTTTTAACAAAAAAAATTCAATTTTCTCAATATATATATCATAAATCTTTTGAAGTCTCTGTTAAAAAATAAAAAATTGGTTGTATAGATGCGAGTAGCAGTAGTAGGGATAATTTGTACTTTCCGAATCTCTCTCAATGCATGCCATCTTCCTGTATTTTTAATTTCATGTTGTTAATGAAAATTTTCTTTGCTAATAATAAAAAAAAAAATTGGTAGACAAGAATATGAAAATGGAATTTGTATTCACAGCAGTAAAATTAGAACCTAATAAAGGAGTTCCTCATCCATCAAGTCAAAACATTGATTTTCTATCTTTTAATATTGTATTTTAGTGATTAATTATATTTACAACTGAAATGCTATAGCTATAGGGGAAATTATAAAATATTCTCGGAGTAACACATATCTGTACTCTTTAACCAATCATCAATTATTATGCTACATTATATTTTTCAATCACCCAACACAATATCTACTTACCCACCTTCTTCACCAATACTATAGAGTATCACGTGTCTATATATTCTGAAATTACTGAATAATTATCCATAACCATAGTGATAGTGTTGTACTTGTCGTAGCATATTGAAATTGTTTTCCTTTTTTCTTTTTTCCCTTTGTCATGAGTCATGATTAAGTCGCGTGACACCAAGTGATACATTTTTTTGGCCTACTTTTGTTTCAAGCTATTTTGTTTCTCTCAAATAATTTTTCTGACTTCATCACTGTCTTTCATCCATATATTTACTTGCAAAGATATGATTATCACTGTGGTGAATTTTTCCATTGTGTAGGTGAAGGAAACACCATACACAAGGCTATGCAGCACAAAGCCCATACTGACAGTGAATGGACAATTTCCTGGACCAACTCTATATGTTAACAAAGGAGAGACAATAATAGTTGATGTTTATAACCGAGCCAAAGATAACATCACCATTCACTGGTATGCATTTCTTTTGAGAGAGTGAGGGTGATTTTTTTTTTTTACTCACGACTGTATCTGGTGTTTCAACTCAACTAGGGTTTCGTTTGGAGTGCACATTTTTGGCTAAAATAGTTAAAAAGACAATATTCAATCACATTACTCTCTATTTTTTTACATATATTTTCTTAGTAATGGAACCTAATTCTGTGGATACATTGTCTCCCTATCTTATATACAATAGTGGAGCCTCATAATGGCTAATAGGGCAAGTGCATCTCCTTGAGTTTTTTAAAATTTACACTTTTTATCCTTAATTGAAAAATAAAAATTAATTATTCTTTTGAAATTTCACGTGTGCCCCTTAAATCTTTATATGTCCTCTTTTATTTACTTTTTCTTTTCAACAATTTTTTTACAATTTTTCACTTTAAATGTTTAATTTTACTTAAATTTTATATTATTTCTCTCATCCCTTCGATTTTTTTGTACCCCTCTCTATGTATCTTTTTGTGTGTGTCTACACCTTGATGTAATTTTATCCTTACCTTTTATGGATACATGCAATCAAACCTAAAATTATGAGAAACTAAATAGAAATCAAATTAACAAAAAAATTTAAAAATAAAAAAGAAAAATATTTCATAAACTCAAGCATAAGTCTAACTTATAATTTTAAAATCATGTTGATCTCTTTAATCGTCTTGCAACTATGAAAATTGAATTCAGTTAGATTGTTGAATTCAGTTAGATTGTAATAAATCATGTTACTGTTTGAATTTAATTTTTTATTTTTTCTGAACCAAAATCCTGGATTTGCCACTACCTATATATATCACATAATTACCGAACCTAAGTTGTGGTGGCAACCCAGAGAGAAAGTAATAATATGGATTGGTTATTTTGCAGGCATGGAGTAAAACAACCAAAGTACCCTTGGACAGATGGTCCCGAATTTATCACACAATGTCCTATTCGACCGGGAGGGAAGTTTAGCCAAAAGATTATATTTTCAACAGAGGAAGGAACCCTATGGTGGCATGCTCATAGCGACTGGTCGCGTGCCACGGTCCATGGGGCTATCGTGGTCTATCCCAAGAATGGCACAAGCTACCCCTTTCCTAAGCCTTATGCTGAAGTGCCCATCATATTAGGTATGATCTTGATAAATTTATATTTAATTTTAAATATATATATATATATATATAAGACCCCCAAAAAATATCCATTTTAAGGGCAAATAGGCTTTCAATAAATCTGAAAGCAATTCGATGTAACCTAAAAATAGAGACATGTATGAGGAGGTCGACCTCATAGTAGCTTTGTCATTGTAGTAATAATAATGCTTTCCAGATGGGGCTATCGTTGTCCTTGGTTTTTGCTATAACTTATGTTTGGGAAGGTGGGTTTGTGGATTTTTTAGTTAAAATAGTCATAAAAAATAAAGCGAATTGATTGGTTGCCGATACGTATCAGTTTATAATCAATTCATTAGCCAAATCACAGTCAATATGGCTAATTCAGCTATAATTATTATTATTTTTCACTTCTCATAATTTTTTAAGAAATCATAATTGTTACAACACATAATTTTCAATATGTATCATTCGATAACTACTAATATTTAAAATCATGTATTTGAAATTGGTGGGACGTCTCATTTACTGTTGAAATGCAGGAGAATGGTGGAAGCAAGATATCATGCAGCTTCTAGATACCTTCCTTAAAACGGGAGGAGACCCAAATACCTCTGATGCTTACACTATAAATGGTCAACCTGGTGATCTCTACCCTTGCTCTAAATCAGGTTTCATTCTACTAATTTTTCTTCTTGAAATTTCTTTTCATTTACTATCTGTGAAATTTATAATTTTTTATTTGATTACAATATCATGTTATTTTAATGCTTGTTGTGTTTAAATAATCAAGATACATAAAATTAGTATATCAGTCATACAATATATATGGTTTAAATAATTATATACAAATAAAAAATATATAATTTTTATATATAATGACTTATGGGCCATTCACTGAAAAATAAAATAATCATATTATTCTTGTGAGATTTTATTTATGAATAGAAATTTCATATGGTTTTTGAGATATTTCACTCGCACAAAATTCTTTTCATCCAATCAAATTTCTAGAAATGACGTGCACTCGATTTAAATCAAAATTTAATGCGTAGAAAAAAGTTTTGATTTCAACCAATCAAATTTCTTGAAATGATGTGCACTCAATTTAAATCAAAATTTAATGCGTATAAAGAAGTTTTGATTTCAACCAATCAAATTTCTTGAAATGATGTGCACTCAATTTAAATCAAAATTTAATGCGTATAAAGAAGTTTTGATTTCAACCAATCAAATTTCTTGAAATGATGTGCACTCAATTTAAATCAAAATTTAATGCGTATAAAGAAGTTTTGATTTCAACCAATCAAATTTTTGATGTGCACTCAATTTAAATAAGAATAAAGTTTGAGACTCCCACCCTCCGTGATCCCAGTGCCACGTGGCACCGCATGATTGAAAGGAAAAAAATATATATATTTTGGCTTACTGGGGGTCTCTAGCACCACTATTTAAATAATGCGTAGAAAAAAGTTTTGATCGGAATGAAAAATAAATCAATAAGAGTAATTTTACAAGCAGTTTTTTTTTTTTTTTTTTAATTCTTAGTCCGCACATAATTCTTTAACTAATTGTAAAACATTGAATAGTGTTACATTAATTCAAAAATTAGATTTATTTTTTAAATCTAATGATGTGACATTTTATTAAAATACTTAAGCCAATCTTTTTTTTAACACATTATTAAATTTAGAAATTTAGAAAGTGAATTTAAAAAATAAATTTCTGTACTATTTTTCTAAAAAGTTTGTTACATTGTCATGTATTAAAGTGAACTCTAACCTTAAAAACACCTAAAATAATTATTTGTTTATTTTTATCAAAAAAAAAAAAAAAAAAAGCATTTTTGATACAAACGACATTTAACTTTCTATGTGCAGATACATTCAAGCTGATGGTAGATCATGGCAAAACCTATCTCCTCCGCATGATCAACGCTGCCATGAGCGACATTCTCTTTTTCTCCATCGCAAATCATCAATTGACAGTCGTTGGAACGGATGCTAGCTACACAAAGCCATTCAAAACCGATTACATAACTATATCCCCTGGACAAACCATGGATGTCTTGTTAGAAGCTAACCAACCATTAGGTCAATATTACATGGCAGCTAGGGTTTTTTCTAGTTTTAATATTGTAACATTCGATAGCACCACCACCACCGCCATCGTACACTACAATGCAAACTACACTTCACCACCACCACCACCTTCATTTCCTCAAAACCTTCCCTATTACAATGACACAAATGCATCGTCTACCTATGCGCGCGGTTTGAGAAGTTTAGACAGTCCTAATCATCCGATCAATGTACCATTAAACATGTCGACAAAATTAATTTTCACCATATCGGTCAATGCCATCCCATGTGCTAATGACTCTTGTGCCGGTCCAAATGGAACCCGCCTCTCAGCAAGCATGAACAACATAAGTTTCGTGAATCCCTCCATTGACATACTTCAAGCTTACTATAATCACATCAACGGTGTCTATGAAGATCGGTTTCCTAATGTTCCACCGTTGATATTCAATTTTACGGCCGATTATCTTCCTTTGGAGCTTGAGACTCCACAGAAGGGGACAGAGGTGAAAGTACTGGAATATAACTCAACCGTGGAGCTTGTTTTCCAAGGAACAAACTTGGTTGCAGGGACAGAGCATCCCATGCATTTGCATGGATACAGTTTTTATGTGGTTGGGTGGGGGTCTGGTAATTTTGACAAAGATAAGGACCCTTTAGGGTATAATTTAGTGGACCCTCCTCTGCAAAATACCATTGCTGTCCCTAGGAATGGTTGGGCTGCCATAAGATTCAAGGCCGACAACCCAGGTAACGTGGTATTTTATAAAAATTGTCATTTCTCATATTATTAATGATTTTTCCAAACCAATATTATATGTTGAAATTTCATCAAAATAATGTCGTAGTGATTTTTTTTTAAAATAATAAATTTTTAATGAATTTTTTATTAAAATAATTCAATACAAATAAGTTGTATTATTTTGTATAGATTTTTTTTTTTTTTTTTTTCTATATCATTACTCTATATGTTAAAATAATATATATTTGACACCCATCATTATATTATTTTTTGAGTAATGTTATAGGATTTGTTTTTTTTTCCCTTTCACAAACTTTGTTTACAAATTGATGTGGCGTACTCAACGTCTTAATATTTGAAATGAATCAAATAGAATTAAATAATAGAAACAACTCATTAGTTTGAAATTTAAGTTTGTAATGTATTGCATTTTTTCTTTATTTTTTTAATATGATAGATCCTTAATGTACAAAATTATTATTGAAAAATATTTTTAATATGAAAAATATAATTTGATTATAAAATCAGATATAACCCTCCCTCACATAGAATTCACATATTTGATGGGACTAACTCTATGTGAGAAGATTATGATTAAATTTTGTACATGTAAAATAATTATTTTAATATTTGATACATCTTGTTTTTTGACAGGAGTGTGGCTTATGCATTGTCATTTAGAGCGACACCTAAGTTGGGGAATGGATATGTCATTCATTGTTAAAAATGGCAAAAACCCAAAAGAAAAACTGCTGCCTCCACCTCCAGACATGCCATCTTGTTATTGAAGCTGCAACATCATCCTTACTATTTGCAAAATTGCTACAATTTGGCAAATTTATTAGTGTTATTAGTTTTAGTATGATTCAACCTGTTATTTGTCTCTAAAATTGAAAAATACACGTGCACATGTACGCCATGTTGGATACTTAAGATTCCATATCATTCCTTTGTGGTGTAAATTTCAATTTAATTTGTTGTTATATTAATAAAATTCAACTTTTTAGTTTAAAAGGATATGTCTCCAGGTTTGAATTGAGCAGATGACTATATTCTGGAAATATACCATGCAGGGGCGAGGGGCCGGCAAAAAACAAGTTAATTTTACTTTTAGAATGATGGTATTAATAAAAATGAGAAATAAAATATTACATATATTATGGATAATGTTTTATAAGTGATGAGAGTGAAAAAATATAAAAACGAGACTAAAGTAGTTAAAATGAAAATTGAGTGTAATGTTTTCAAAAAATAAATAAATTTTGTATATATTATATATATAAAATAATATTTAATAAATATAATCGGAGTAGAAGCGAGATATAACATGCGAGTAGACAAAAACCTACCCATTTTCTCATTAAGGGGGAAGAAAATCCATGTGGGACGGGAGATGTGAGGCAGTGCGGGGAGAAATGAGTCTCCCTAAATCTATTTAGTGTAAGTTGCGTCTCCTAAGAGGAGACTTAATATGGCCACGTACATATTAATATTTGTAAATTGTAGATTATATATATTATATATTATTTATATATTTATCCTTATATGTATATTTATCTTTTGATAATTATGGGTGATAATTATTGAAGTTACTTAAAATATCAAGAACTCTAAATGGTGGTTTGGCTAAGGCCTATCAATTTTCACTAATTCAGTTTCCTTGATGGAAGGAAACTAACAAGGTTTATCTAATAATATATCAATCTGATAAGGGTCCCTGACCTAGTAGTTATAAACAGGCTTGTGGTTTTCCATCAATGAGGCACTCAAGTTCTGCATAAGTTAGAAGACACTTATTCATAAAGTGTGAAATGAGTGATATAATATTAAGAGGTTCAGAAGAAATACACACATCACACAACTTGATCAACAATGGCTGGAGGAAGTTAGTATAAATTTTATTCTGCTGTATATCCATACATATATGATTTTCCTACATTGTGGTATTAGAGTTTATCTCCAAATCTATGTTGATCAGTATATAGATTCAATATATATATATATCATTGACGTTCTTATAAATTTTTTTTTTTTCATCAATTCTGTTCTTGCAATTGTATAGATTCAATATATATATGTCATTGACATTCTTATAAACTTTTTGTTTTCGTCAATACCGTTCTTGCAATTGTGTAATTGTCTTCATCATGACTAGGATGCAAGAATAGCTTCAGTTTTAAACTTTCTTCATCTGTGTATGTGTGTAAATGAGAATGCATGTGCACGTATGTCAAAGGGTAATTAAAGATGCAAGAATAGCTTCAGATTCTGATATAAAAAACATATATATATATATATATATATATTTGTAAATAGTTGTGGAATAGTATTTGGGTTTGTTTACAGAAATTAAATATCTTGCTACCATTATATTTGAGTTTGTAATTGTATAGATTCAATATATATATGTCATTGACGTTCTTATAAACTTTTTGTTTTCGTCAATACCGTTCTTGCAATTGTGTAATTGTCTTCATCATGACTAGGATGCAAGAATAGCTTCAGTTTTAAACTTTCTTCATCTGTGTATGTGTGTAAATGAGAATGCATGTGCACGTATGTCAAAGGGTAATTAAAGAGGCAAGAATAGCTTCAGATTCTGATATAAAAAAACATATATATATATATATATATATTTGTAAATAGTTGTGGAATAGTATTTGGGTTTGTTTACAGAAATTAAATATCTTGCTACCATTATATTTGAGTTTGTTTTATGTTCCGTTAAAAGTTATATGGTGCCGAATTTATAAGATGGTTGAGCATTATAATAATTTGAGAATAGCCACAACATCTTAAATTATTGTTATATGTATGAAGTTAGAAAATAATTATATTAGATGACATCTTATTACTTGCATTTAAATTAGTAAAATTAATTATTTTACCCACAGGAAGATAATTGCTTTATTAATTTATTTGGAATAAGATAGTAAGTTTTAAATATCAAAATAAAAAATTTTCTATGTCTACAGATAATGGAATTATTTTATTTTGTGAGAGATATTTACTAGTTTTATTGATAAAGTTAAGTAGATTCGATACAAGTTGTAATCTTTATCCACAGGGAGATTAGAATTTACTTTTTTGTTTTTTTTTGTCGTAGCATGATTTGCTCTTGGTTATTGCAGTCATTCCTACTACATTAGTGAGTTCTGAATCATCTCATATTCCATTTTTGAGTGGTGAAAATTTTTCCGACTGGAAAGATAAGATTCTTTTGACTTTGGGGTGAATGAACCTTGATTTGGCGCTTCGTGTGGATGAACCACCTGTTCCTACGGAATCAAGTATGTTAACTGAGAGGGCTTCTTATGAGAGGTGGGAGCGATCTAATAGCTTAAGTTTAATGCTCATCAAGTCTCGTATCAGTAAGGGCATTAGGGGTTCAATCCTTGACTGCGACAGGGTTAAGGTCTTCATGAAGGCTATTGAAGAGCAATTTGTGACATCTGAGAAGGCATTAGCCAACACTCTAATGAAGAAGCTCTCAGGCATGAGACTTAATGGTTCTAAAGGTGTGCGTGAACACATTATGGAAATGCGGGACATTGCAGCTCAACTTAAAACATTGGAGATAGAGATTTCTGAGTCGTTCTTAGTACATTTTATCCTTAACTCTCTTCCTATGGAATATAGTGCTTTCAAAATTTCCTATAACACACAGAAGGAGAAATGGTCAGTAAATGAACTTTTGGCCATGTGTGTTCAAGAGGAAGAGAGATTGAAGCATGAAAAACTAGAGACTGCCAATCTTGCATTTCATGGAAAAGGAAAAAACCGAAAGGACAAAACTGTTCCGCAACAGAAAGTGCAAATGAAGCGTTATGGCAATAAAGGTGAATGCTTCTTTTGCAAGAAAAAGGGACACATAAAGAACGATTGTCCTAAGTACATGAAATGGCTCGAGAAAAAAAGTAATATATTCTCTCTTGTGTGTTATGAATCTAACTTTGTTAAAGTTCTTGATAATACATGGTGGATTGATTCTGGTTCTACAATTCATGTTGCCAATACTGTGCAGGGCTTTCTCATCCCAAGGAAACCGACAACAAGTAAACAGGGCATCTATTCGAGAAATGGGATGCATTCACATGTGGAGGCTATGGGAACTTTTAGACTGATTTTAAATTCTGGCTTTGTTTTGGATCTTGAAAACACTTTTTATGTTCCATCATTTTCTAGAAATTTAGTTTCAATTTCAAAATTAGTACCTTTTGGATATACATTTAATTTTGTTAGTTCGAGTTTCAATTTATTGAAAAATAATGCTACTATTGGCAATGGTTTTTTAACTGATGGTTTATGTAAATTTGATTTGGATCTTTCATATGAAAATAGTCTTTTAACCTTACATAGTGGAATTGGCATAAAGAGAAGTATTACCAATGAGAACTCCTCTATAGTATGGCATAGAATTAGTAAATGATGGAGTTTTAAATACTCTTGATTTTACTGATTTTGGTACTTGTGTAGATTGCATTAAGGGAAAGCAAACCAACAAGTCCACTAAAGGTGCCAAAAGAAGTTCTAATATTCTTGAGATCATACACACAGACCTCTGTGGACCATTTACTCTACCTTGTTTCAATGGTCAGAGATATTTTGTCTCATTTATTGATGATCATACACGATATATGTATCTCTATCTTTTATTTGATAAGGCTGAGGCACTTGATGCATTTAAAGCCTATAAAGCAGAGGTAGAGAAACAAACAGAAAAGAGCATTAAAATCGTGAGATCAGATAGAGGTGGAAAATATTATGGAAGGTGCACAGAATCCAGACAAATACCTGGTCCATTTGCTAGGTTTCTTAAAGAAGAAGGAATAATTGCCCAATATACAATGCCTGGTACACCACAACAAATGGTATAGCTGAAAGGAGGAACCGTACACTTATGGACATGGTAAGGAGCTGTAGACGTCCCCGAACGTCCCGGGAGGGAACCCCCATGTTTTGTTCATTTGGGGCTCACTACAGATTAGACTCAATGTCACGGTCTTGTATCTAATCTCGCAGAGTGCAATGCAAGACCGATGAATCATCAAAGAGTCCAAATCCGGCAAATCGTTTTGAAAAACAGATTTTTAGAAAGAAGTGCCAAACATGGACTGCTTTGCCAGATACAGAGTCGCCACCTAAATATTTTATTTTGGGGAATTTAGGAAATCCTGACTCATTTGCCTAAGGCCACGTGTCCGTCATCACCAAAGTTGCCTCGGCTCAGGAACTTGATGTTTGCATTCATTCATTTGTCCTGCATGCACCGGGCTCGGCGCATCATACTAACTGCATTGTATTTCAATTCCAAGTTGAATACTTGTTAGTTGTAGCATTTCACATGCCATCTTTAGAATAGCCGAGCCTATTGTAGTTGCATTCCTGCATGTGTTGCATTAGGCATTTCAGCATAGTTAGGATCATGCATGGATTTCTAACATAGCTTCTGTTTTGGTTTGGAGTACTCGGTAAGTGTTTATGCTTTAGCATCCTTGCATGTGTGTGAGTGACTTCCATGATAGCATGCTTACCATGAGGCTATGTGCTTATGTGATATACCTGCCTGAATGCCTATGGGTGAAGGTTGGATTATCTGAATTGGAATAATGCATTGACTGTGAGTTTTAAGCCCACTTGAGAGTGGCAAACCATCACGTTTTCTAAGCCCACCCGAGGGTGGCAAATCCATGTCTTAGCCTACTTACGGGTAACACCATCAAACCATTTTCAAAATAAGCAAACATGAGGTGTGTTGTTCCAATTCAGGCGATCCAGTCTATACTTGTATGCTGTGTGCATCACGTAGTAAATCTTGGCTAATAACCGGAATAAGAATACATAATGTTTTCAAAACTCGATATCATGGTTAGTAGAGGCCGATCTTTGATCGAGTGAGCGGGGGTGCTCACGAAGTGACCTTCCCCAATCGTATCC